ATATTCACAAAAGAACTAGAGAAATGAGTGTCTCACCTGTTAGCAATGTTATGAACAAGTTAAGTGAATCTCAAAAAACGATTATTAATGAAATAATTACTACAAGTAAGGTAGATAATCCCAAGAACTAAAATATATTATTAAACCTTTTTCTACTAATTATAAATATAATAAAATGTGACTTAGGTACATAATATATTCTTAGATCTCCATCTCCTACACCTTTTTGAGAGAGCAAGATATATTGCCATTACCGTGTAAACGAACAGTTAGGAAATATCTTTCTCTTATAAAAACAAAATGTGGTTTTGATGAGAAATTTTTTCAACTCCTAAAAAAGAAGCTAGCAATGTTTAGCGACATGGAATGCTTATCTACGATGAAATTATATTACGAGAGAGTATTGACGTAGATTCTAAATCGTTAACCTATATTGGATTAGAAGATTTTTGGGAAGATATGGAAAGCACTGGATTAAAACCAAACCATGGCCTCGTCTTAATGTTTCAAAGTTTATGTACTAATTTTTCCCAACCGATAGCTGTATTTGCTTCCAGAGGACCCGTGAAAGGTTTATTTATTTGTTCCAATCAAAGACTAAGATATACTCTATCAAATATCTTATTCAGTGGTTTACTGTGTTTTTTATTGTTGTATGTTAATAATTGATTAGTACATGTTTACTTTGATTTAATTTTTGGTGATAATTAATTAATGTTTTACTTGTTTTCCTTATTTTTAGTAGTGCTTATAATATTTGTTTTAGTTTATTAATGATAGGTTTGTGTGTTTAGCCTATATTTTAATAATTTACAGTTTTTATTGCCAATAGCTAAACAAACAAAAAAATGTTCTATTCTTCTAAGTTCTATTTATGTGGTTGTGTTCTGTATGCATTTATGTAAGTTTTTAAATAAATTTTTTTCAAATATTGTTTTTTAATTAATCTTATTATTCTTTAGGTATGGTTCTTGCTCAGTTGATAATAAAGACTATTTCTATCCTTGAAAACTCTGGAGCAAAAATTGATTTTATTGTTTCTGATGGTGCCTCAATAAATAGGAAATTATGGGTAGAATTAGGAATATCTGGTTCAATGGACTATATGCAAAATTCTATTATTCATCCTTCAGATGATTCCAGACAAATATTCATGTTTTCGGATGCACCACATTTGATAAAGAATGTGAGAAACCAATTACTTAACAAAAAATCATTGAGAGTGAGTGTTTTTAAAATTTTAAAAAGATTTGAATAATAATACATACGTAGTCTTCAATGAGCTGTTTTTCTATTATATTTGTTTGGATTTTTGAATTTTAGATTCTGAGTGAAACGATGAATGTATTGATTTTACAATGATGTGTGTGTTTTTTTTTAAATTTTTAAATTTTTTTTTGTGTCTGTGTACACGATTAGTAGTCGAAATAATGCTTCGATTTTCAACTTCAGTAACTTGTTCGATGGGAAAGTGAATCTAGTTGGTACTTTTGGGAGGTCAAAATTTAAAATTCACTAGTTTTCACAAGCGACAAGATTCTTCTTCTTCTTCTTCTTCTTCTTCGGTTTTTAAAGGCAATTGAGGCCCATTACCGCAACACAAACTTGCTTCCATCTGTCTCTGTCTTGTGCTATTCTTTCTCCATCTCGTATTCCGATCTCTGCTAAGTTCTTCTCCACTTTGTCGATCCACCTTTGTTTCGGCCTGCCAAGTGGTCTTTTCCCCTGGGGTTTCCATTTTAAAACTTCTTTCATAAGACCATTTGACCTCCATACATGACCGGCCCATGCCATTCTCCTATTTTTTAATACTGCTACTATGTCTGGCTCTTTATATAACTGTTGTATTTCTATATTGTTTCTTTTCTCATATTGTTGTGTCATGTTATTTATTTTTGGCCCAAATATTCTTCTTAATATTCTTCTTTCAAGTATTGCTAATTTGTCTTCGTCTCCTTTAGTCGTTGGCC